TGTCCACATTACGTAAATAAATACAGAAACTCTAAGATTTCTGTCTGCGCTTTTTTTTCCCAAGATGCTTTCCTCGCTAATTACGCTGCTATCTTTCCCAAGTGACTACACTTCACCTGTCAATTCGGTCAGTATTAGATGGTTTAACAATCGTAACCTCTCTTCAACTGCTGCTTTTTCCGATAGAGCAATTTCCATCTTCGACCCAATACCAGGAGAGCGAAACTGACGCATACTCTGCTTGTGAAGGGAGACCCGCACTGCTGACAGATAAAGTTGGAAAATATTCCTAGTGACTGATGGAACATTCTATTCAAAAATGCATTTGAGCTCGATGTAAACAGTGAACTACCGACTAAACGATATTTTGAGTGACTTTTTTAACAGTAAAATCAATACACGGTCGACAACAAATTTTCAAATTGCAGCAAGCCGTGTTGACATTTTAAAACGGCTGGCAAAATATGAAATTCACTACGGCTGGAGGAGAGAGTCATCGAAGTTGGTAACGATGCTGTCTTCCAGACGAGGCATTGAACCCAATACCTTATAGGACTGTTTAGAGGGGTCATGAAAGAGCCTTGAACGCCATTTGAATGAGAAGAAATGCATCTGATAGTTATTACGTGGCTGACTGCCACATTTCCCAAAAAGAATCAGTGACTACATTTAAAAAGTGGTTGTGAAACATTTCAAAATGTTCCATAAAGTTGAATAATGCTTATGTAAGTGCAGAAGTTTTCTGGAACTAAGCTGAAATTTAAAAAAAGGAAGCTGGAAAACAGTGTACATACTCTGGGCAATGATGTGGAACTGTGAACGATTTTTCCAGATCACACACAGTAAACATTTACATGGGCAGGGCTAAATATCAAATTTCAAAATATATTTTATAGTCTTACAGTCAATACAGCACAAAAGGAAGCCATTTAGCCAATAAACCTTTCCGCCGATATGTACCCGACAATACAGAAAATTGCCTCGGTACATCCTGTTCACAAAGCGTAGGACAACTCCAACCTAGCTAATTACGTGCACATCAGTGTACTCTGGATCATCAGTAAAGTATCATCAACAGTGCTCTCAAGCAGCTCCTATTCATCAATAACCTGCTGAGTGATGCCGAGTTTGAATTCTGCCAAAGCCATTTAGTTCCTGACCTCATTCCAGCCTTGGTTCAAACATGGACAGAAGAGCTGAATTCCAGAGGTGAGGTGAGAGTGACAGCCCTCGACATCAGGGGCACGTTAGAATGAGTGTGGCATCGAGGATCCCCAGCAAAACTGGAATCAATGGGTATTAGGCAGCAAACTCTGCTGGTTGGAGTCATACCTGGCACATAGGAAGATGGTTGTGGTTTTTGGACGTCAGTCATCTCAGTTCCAGGACATCTCTGCAGAAACTCCTCAGGGTAGTGTCCTAGACCCAACCATTTTCAGCTGCTTCATCAATGACCTTCCCTCCATCATAAGGTCAGAAGTGGGGATGTTCACTGATGATTGTACAATGTTGAGCACCATTGACGACTCCTCAGGAACTGAAGCAGTCCATGTTCGATGCAGTATTAAAGATGACTAGGGGTGTCCCAAACCTGTGCCACATTCAGGCATAAGCTAGGTAAGCAGTGAGCCCTGGTACAGCGCATGTGCTGCGAACCCCAGAACAGCGTGAGCAGTGAGCTCTGGTACAACGTGTGGGCTGTGAGCCCCGGGATAGCGTGAGCAGTGAGCTCTGGTACAGTGTGTGGACTGAGAGCCCCGGGACAGTGTGAGCAGTGAGCTCTGGTGCAACGTGTGGGCTGTGAGCCCTGGGACAGCGTGAACAGTGTGCTCTGGTACAGCGTGTGGGCTGTGTGCCCTGGTACAATGTGCGGGCTGTGAGCCCTGGGACAGCGTGAGCAGTGAGCTCTGGTACAACGTGTGGGCTGTGAGCCCTGGTAAGACTGTTGGGCTGTGAGCCCGCGACAGCGTGAACAGTGAGCCCTGGTACTGTATGTGGGCTGTGTGCCCCGGGACAGCGCGTGGGCTGTGTGCCCCGGGACAGCGCGTGGGCTGTGTGCCCCGGGACAGCGCGTGGGCTGTGAGCCCCGGGACAGTGTGAGCAGTGAGCCCTGGTACAGCACGTGGGCTGTGAGCCCCGGGACAGCGTGAGCAGTGAGCCCTGGTACAGCATGTGGGCTGAGAGCCCCTGGACAGTGTGAGCAGTGAGCTCTGGTACAACGTATGGGCTGTGATCCCTGATAAGGTGTGTGGGCTGTGAGCCCGGGACAGGGTGAACATGAGCCCTGGTACTGTATGTGGGCTGTGAGCCCCGGGACAGCGTGAG